ACTCAAATGTCCATAAACTGATAAATGGATAAATAAAATGTAGTATATCCCTACAATGAAATATTATTTGGAAATAAAAAGAAATTAAATACTGGTACATACAATAACATGGATGAATCTTGAAAACAATTGTCTTTTACCCATTTATCTACACCTCCCTTCAACGATCACAACCAATTTCAGCAAGAAGCCTTCCCAGATCTCTTTGGTCAAAACTAATTTCTCTCCCTATGGATCTATAGCACTTTGCCCATTTTAATCCTATTTCCATTTCCTGGTATGTACTTTTTACTCAGGGGGAGGGACCAGGTCTTAATTATGACCTGCCTTAGACCCTTCAGTGACAGCCATTATGTTTGGATGGAATTCAAAATCCTTGCCGACTCTGTGACCTTGGGCAAGTTGGTTGGCCTCTCTGGCCCTTAGTTTCCCCATTTCTGGCTTTTAGTGTTCTCCTGTTAACGGGAGATAATAAGAGTACTCACATCACAGAGTTGTGGTCAGCTTTTAATGAGATGACTGATAGAAAGGATTTCTCACAATACCTGGTGTAGAATGAATGTTAACTGCTATCATCATCATCATCATCATCACCAACATCATCATCATCACCTTCAACACTATGGCATTGCCTCAGCCTCTTTCCTGCCACCATTTCCCTTTGATTACTAGGCTCAGAATCTACTGGTATTCTATTCTTCCAAGCTGCCAAGCACTTCCCAGCATGAGGACCTGTTTCTTCTACCTGAAATCCTCTTCCCCACGCTCTACCTGGCTAAGTCCTCCTTATTCTTCAAGTCTCAGCTGATACATCATCCCCTCAGGGAGGCCTTCCTTAACACATCATTTTAAATTAGGTCTCCCTTTATTTATCCTGGACTATTCAGTTGTATTATAAATTGTAATTATATATGTATGTGACTATTTGTTTACTGTTTCCCTGCCCAGCTGTATGTACTATATTGTCTTGTTCACTGTTCTAATTAAAAAAAAAACAAACCTTAAAATTAAAAAAATGTTTTTAGGAATACATATAGCTAAGATAAATACATAAAAATGAAAAAAGAATGATGGATACTTTGGGAGAGGATGGAGTGGGAACGGACCATTGATAGACTTGTTATTGCTAAGGTCCTAGCTTTCACGGTGTTTTCTTACGACAGTATTATAAATAAATAAATGTGTCTTGTGCATGAAACAATGAAGAATGTGTGAACCAAGGTTATGATTCAACTAATTCTGTGCACCTGACATCCATTAAGAAAAAGGGAGAGAATTATGCCTACCTCCTCCAGGTAGCCTTACTTGTTTGGGGGCAATGGGGAAAAGATTCTTATCCCCCAACCCTCTCTGGGACTTTTCTGTTGGAACTATCTCTAGATTCTCTTCCTGGAGAGCTGAGCTAGTGATACAGAGGTGGGGCAGCAGGAGGGATGGAATCCAGGGTTTAGCTACTTCAGGAAAAGGGTCCTGGAACTGGTGAGAAAATAGCTCCTTCCCAAGGCTGAGGTAGGGACGCAGAGATGTGGGTCAGCTTCCATTGCATTCAGCTTCCCCTACTCCCCAGGGTAAGAACTGCAGAATGTGTAGTCTCCCACCCATTTCCTGTTCTGCTTCATTGAAGAACTCAAGGTCGGGGTGGGGAGTCTCAGCAGCAGTTTATCCCAAGACAGAATTTGACTGGGCCCACAGGGTAGATAACTAGTCTATCTACCAATCCCCAAGGCCCTACTTTTTGAAAAAAAGGGGTTGGGAGGAGGCTCTAGGAGGGGATAGCTTAGAACTTTTCACTTCAGGAGATGGAGCTTGAGGTCAGATTGAACTGGGTCAGGCTGGCTAGGCTAGAGTCTTACCTTTGGGGAAAAGGGTTAGAGATTAGGCTAGAGTGGGCTAAGGGTATAAAAGGAGCTGAAGGTTGTGCTGGACTCGACAAGTAGTCCTAAAAAAGGAGCTGGGTCCAGGCTGTTTTGGGGTTCTGGGGGGTTTAGGTGCTGTGCCTCTGCAGTGGCGCCTGGCAGGGGCACAGTTGAGCAGAAACAAATCTCAGTATTGTGTTGGGACTTTGGACTGGGACCTCACCTGCATGTGGAAACAGAGGGCATAAGGAACTTAAAGGGTTTCTCCCTTCCCTCACCTCAGCAATTTCTCCTGACCAAAGACCTTCCCCAGAGGGGATGCTGGGGCGAACAGGGAGGAGCCAGATCTAGGGCTCCAGAGAAAGTCTCTAGCCACTATGTTTCCTGAATTCAAAAAGTGGGTCCCCCTGTCTCTCTAGCGCACTCCCTCCCCAAGCAGGGCAGAGTCCAAGCCTGGCAATTTACCTCTTTTCTTGACCCCCACCTCCTCCAAAACACACACACACACACACACACGCACGCACACACCATGTGAATCTGCAAATGCCCAGTCACACAACTGCTGCCCCAGTGACCCTGAAACCCAACATAATCGTACTGCCAACCCATGCATTCCACAATACACCCTCATTTCTGTATTTGTAGCTTCCCACTCACACTCAGAAGTCATGACTTCTCAGCCTTGTTCAGCACTGTATCCCTAGCACCTAGAGCTGGGCCTGGCACCTGGAGAGAGCTCAATGAATATTAGCTGAATGAATTCACCAAGACACACACCATAAACAAATGCATACACTAGCCCACATACATATCCATACATGTATATGCTCCCTTATATACACATATCCAAGCCCTCTCTCAGCTCAGCAGTCACATACATAACATATGCTGGCCAATCAAGAGAAAAGGCCAGATGTACACCTAGTGCCAGACACAAACGCACTGCAGGTAAGTATTACCTAGCACTCCCAGAGTGAGTTGGTGGTAGTCATCGGGTCAGGTCTGCAGAGGAATGGTGTGTGTGTGTGTGAGTGTATGCACGCACAAATGCAGGCCTTGGGGTCTTGAGGCGCTAGGGCAATGAATAGGGCTGGCAGCAGGGCAGGGAAAGGTCACTGTGTGAATTGGAGACAGGGCAGGGTGGTCCATGCAGTGCTATCCTCTGGTTTCTTCCACCAGTTGGGAGGTGAGGGTAGAGGCTCAGGTCCACGAGGCCTTAATTCACATCCAGAGAGACCTTAGTGGGGGAATAAGTCTGAGGGCTCGGATTCCCCTGCCTGGGATAAATATGAGGGAGACTGGGTAGGGGGCTTTGTAGGTGCTAAAACCCCATACCCAATCCACAACAGGGCCTGTCTTGCCAATCTTCTTTAATGGTGGCGGGGAGGGGACTTGGGGGGAGTAACTACCTGGAAAACTGCCCTATTCTTCCTTCCATCTTTCTGTGGAGCTTCAGGCTGCCCCCTAGCAACAGTGCTTAGGCCTCCTCCTTCCTCCGTGTTTCCACCCAGTCAGCGAGTAGACAAACAATCCCTATACTCTCTGACTTCCCCACCCAGGAACCTAATACCAGGGCTCTTTCAGAGATCTCTGCTGGGCTGGTTGGCCTCCCTGGGTTAGGGGTGGGAATCTCACTGGCTGAGCCCTCCCAGACATTCTAACCACCCAAAGCTCCATTAATCCAAGCCCCCTCCTAGGCAAGGTCCCCTTTCCCCACCCATACAAGCCTATCTATCCCAGGAATCCAGCCTCAGGATGGCAGTGAGGAACAACAGTCTGGGGTGGGGTGGGTGGGGACCAGGAAGTCAACTTTTGAGGGAGATGGGCCAGGCTGGGACACAAGGAATAATACCAGAAGAACAAGAGGAAATGTGAGATGGGAGTGAAATCCACAAGTCCAATTAATAGCTCCTCCCCAATAACTGGTCTTAGGACTACAGGAAGAAGGGGGGAAATATTGCCTTGGGCGGTGTCATTATTTGGCACCAATGACCAACCAAGACACAGTCAAACCAAAAAGTCTCTTTATTGATTGGTACCATACAGGACTCAAATGGCCAAAAAAAAAAAAAAAAAAAAAAAAAGGAATTGCAAGGGGGGGGACACAAAAAAAAAAAAAAAAAAAAAAAGGCATTGCAGTTGGGGTGGGACATCCATCTTCCCTACCCTTTCCCTCAGTTCCTGACATAATACCCTTCCAACAGTGGCAGCTGTAGTAGAGGAAATAGGGTGTGGGGACCCCAGAATCCAAAAGGAAGAGTGGGAAGAGAGGTGGTACTAACACTTCTGGAACTGGCCATGGGAAAAAGCAGAGAAGCCAGAGGAGAACCCAGACTCATGGGATCTTGCTCTTGGCCTCACCCTGGGCCAGGGACCTCCACATGTCCAACTGAAATATAGCCGAGGCTGCTGGCTGCCTCACCCTTCCTTCTATGAGGAAGGGGACTGGAAGGTATATTGGGAGATGAAGACCCTCCACTTCAGCTAGGGGACAGAGGCCAACTGCTCCCTGGTGATCGTAGAGCTGGGATACCTATCTCAGTGGCTCTTTCTCCTCTGTGGAGGGCAGGGGACTAGATATGCAATTTGAGGGGCTTGGGGAAGAGAGTACTGAAGTGAGTGAATGAACCCCTCCCCCAACCCATGCCTGCCCAACTGAGACAAAACAAAAAACACAGTGACAAACAAGGCAGCTCCCTTCCCTCCACACTCCCTAAGAGAGGGAGCCTTCCCCTCCCCCCATCCAAGACAGCTGCTCTAGTGGAGGACTTGTAAAGAATATACACACCATGGGGGGAGGGGGTTGGGGGCTGGGATTGAGGGAGTCACAAGCACTAAGAGGGCAGGCCAGAGTCCTGGAGGATGGGGAGACAGAGACAATAGCTGGGGGCTGTCACAAAAGTGAGGCCATCAACGGCCCCCTATGCCATGGCATGCCTTCCCTAATTCCAGTCACCTCAGAAGAAAAGGGAAAAGAGATGGCAAAGTGTCTCCTTGGTCTGAAGCTCTCAAACTGTATAAAACGGTAATGCATATCCCCCCTACCCTACCCAAATGCTCACCTCCACCTGGGCCCTAAGCCCCCATCTGCCAGGTGTAGGGAGGTACCTGGACTTTTAATAAGGGGAAGAGGGGGGACATGAGTGACCTTTTTTTAAACTTACATTTTTAATAATGTTATTTTTTAAAAAACTTGAAGCTGGAATAGGTGGCAGAAGGGAGGAGCCCAGAGCCTTACCCCTCTACTACCAGCCACCTAGGGGATGGGGCACTCAACGAAGCCCCATAACTTTAAGTCCCTAAGGGCTGTGGGTATAGGCAACCCAGGCTTGAAGGGGGTGGAGTTAGGAGAATAGGGAACCGAGAACCTGAAATGAGGATGGAGGCAAATGCCCTGGGGGGACAGGGGTCAGGACATTTCTCAGAGGCCCAGGGTCCACATAGGCATCCACATGAGTACCCCCTTCCACCAAAAGGCTCTGCAGAGGCTAGGCCCAGCCCAGGGCCACTGGGGGGCAAATCTTGGCACCTGCCCCCAGCGAGTCCAGTTCCTCCCTGAAGTGGGTGGATGGAGGCTGCCCATTTTAGATGCTCAGTCTCTTCATTCCGTCTTCTGCTCCTTGGGGCTGCAAGGGGTGGGGCAGGCAGGCAGAGCACTGGGTGGCCCTGGAGAGGCCTTTACTGGGAGGCCTGTGATGTGGGGTTCTCCGATTTGCTTTCTTGGCTGGATGGAGGCTTGCTGTTCCAGGGGCTGTTGGCGCCCAGGGCAGGGGAGTTGTTAAAGCTGTCCTCGTCGTCAATGCCGTTGGCCGCGTCAAACTGGGTGTTCTCCAGCCGGGTGATGAGTCTCTCGTCCTCGTCCCCGAACTCCCCGCCCATCAGGGTGGGCTCCCCCACCACCATCACATCCTGAGAGTGGCGGAGGTCCCCAAACATAATCGGGGCAGGGGCTCGCCCGGCCCAGGGCGGCAGATACCCCCAAAGCCCCAACACCCACCCTGGAAACTCAACACCCCCACCCCCTTCTCACACCCCAATTTAAAACATCAACTCCTCTGACACCTTCGGCCCCTGAAATCCTTCCCACCGAAGGACTGCAGAGTATCACAACTTTTGACTCACATCCACTAGATTCTGGGAGAAGTCAATCTATTCCCCTAGCTCCCTACTTGGTCTCCCCAAAATTTTAGGGGGCCCCTAAACTTCTGTCCACATGTAAAAGGGAGCAGATCAAAAACATCAGTGGGGGAAGTGTGTGCATATGCTTGTGTTCTAGATTCACACACATTTGAAGCTGCATGTCCTATCAGTGTGTGTGTATGTCTCTGATGGTCTGTGTGCCCCAAAACTGTCTGTCCTGAATGTTCGTATGTTTTCATGATGACTCTTT